AAATTGTCCTAAATCAATACCTGAAGGCCTGGCACGTAGAGAGACACACACACACACCTCAATGTCTTTTTCAACTTTTTCAACCCAATTCTGATCTAACAGCGGTGGAGCAGCTCTAACCTGCCACTGTGCCTGAGGCATGTATCCACAACAAAAAGAAGACCAAAAAAACCCCAACATGTGTGCACATATGCAAATATTCAAAGCATTATCACAGAGTTTGCCACATTTTGAATTTACTTGGAGAGGCCGACCAAGATTATCTTTTTTCTTTACCCCTCAGCTGGAAAAGGTTGGTGGGGTATTGTTGTCACCCTCCTAGTGGGAGGTCAGCGTGGACACCCAAGTTTGTGAATGCGATAAATCGTGAACAACGCAGCGTGAGAGTTTCAAATTGCTAGCATGGGTGTATCTGCTAAAATATGTGTGTTTACTAGGAGCTTGCCAGTAATTTAAGATTTTAATTTCACATGAGAAAATGACACATGGCTAATCAGCTAGCCTGAGACCATTTGAGTGTTGTGTTCTCCTGCTGGATATAGTCCTCGATATTATACAGCTTCCTCTCCAGAGATGTAAATATCATCATCAGATGGAGAGTTCAAGTGTGTGTGCAGATGTCCACATGTCTGCCAGTTTTTTCCAGGACCAAACAGACTCATCTGCAGAGACTTTACATTACAATGAAGCAAGTCCCCAGGCGATGGGCTTCAAGTGGTCTTCAAAGAAGTATAACAGGAATAACTGCTTGGCTGTTTTATCTCCAGCTGTCTGTATCCACAACAGAGTTTTAATCAGGTGGAGAACTGGTTCGTGTGGTGCTGCATCAGCTCACCAAGCCTGCAAAGCACAACAAGGACTACTGTCGCCACCTGCAGTCCAACAGCATGGAGTTACAGTTCCTCTGCACGATGAGAAACTCACCGGAGAGTCAGCTGCTTGTATTAATCTGTTATCTGTTATTTATTTGTCAAGTAGTTCGTTATTAAAGCATTTGCGGGGGAAGCTCTTATAAACGGGGAGTTTTTCCTTCCCACTGTCGCCAAGAGATTGCTCAAAGGGGGTCGTATGATTGTTGGGGTTTTTTCTGTATTATTGTAAGGTCATTGCATTACATAATAAAGGACCTTGAGACCTTATTATGATTTGGTGCTTCAAAAATTGAATTGAACTATATTATATGAAAATTTAAAAAATTAAGACAGTATTCATAGTTTATACCTAATTTATGGATAAAATGAGTAGAGTTATATTTATTATTTGATTGGGGTCAGGAATGACCCCAATTTTCTGATAAAGAAAAGCAGGAATCAGCCTAAATCAGCCTTAATCAAAATTAAGCTCAATTTCATGATCGAGGGTTAATATCAATAAGCAAATATTGGACTTTTATTAAGGGGTATTTGGTGGCTAAACATTCACATTTAACATGCAAATGGTCCCCCGGTTTAGTCCCAAGTGGAGCAAACAAATCCCTTTTAGATTGTGTCAGTATGAGCATCCAGTGTAAAAACCTACCAAATAAAAACATGCAGAGCTTCCTTTGTGACACTGTAACTGCACAATGAACAAAATTTACAAAATGCACTTAACTTTTTATGCAGTATGACCCAAAACGAGTGAATGATTGAGCCTCTAGTGACCCTTAAAAAGACGTTTACGTTTCAGAACCAGAAGTGACGTCCATCTTTTATACTCTCTATGACTCGTTTTTTTTCTTGTTGCCGGTTTTCTTTTTTTTGTGTCAGTGTTTTTTAATGCAGACAGCATGTGGTTAGCATTGTTGCCTCACAGCAAGAAGGTCCTGAGCTCGAATCCACCAACTGGCCTTTCTGTAAGGAGTT